GCAGCGCAGTTCAGGTCGCGGACTCGCGGCCCGGTGGCCCGCGCCGTCCAAGAAGCACAAGGCGCCGCCGGCGGGCGCGGCGAAGAAGAAGGCCAAGAAGTAGGCGAGGCGCGGCCCCCCTAAGACCAAAAACCACCCGCGGTTTCCCCGGGGTCGGGCCGACGACGCGCGGCCGAAGGGTGGCTTCGGCACGGTCGAGGCGCCTGTAGCCGCGCGGAGAGCTCCCGGCGAGGCCGAGCGTCCGGGCCCCGTGGCCGGGAGGGCTCCGAGAACGGCGCCGAGCGGCCCCCCAAAGTGCCATTTTTCACCAAAAAAAGGGTGTCTAGACTTGGGCAAAATTTTGTGACCCTCGCATCAACTGCCGGAAAGGTCTCGGAGAACTCGCGCTCGATCTCGTGGGTCGCCGCGCCGCGCCCCGCGCGCCCGCCCCGGGGCCCCGCGCGCCCCGCGCGACGCCCCGCGCGCCCCACGACCCCGCCCGAGCCCCGCCACACACCCACAACCACCCCTGTTTCGCTCACAGGTGCTGATCACCTCATCGATTTCAAACCATGGCCAAGGACAAGGCGTCGACGCGCAAGCCCCGCCGGCGCAACGCCCGGGCGCGCGACGACGGCGGCACGCGGCGCGCGACGGAAGCGACGCCGCCCGTCCGGGCGTCGAAGCGACTGTCCGTGCAAGTGTCCGCGGCCGCGTCCGCGTTCCTCGTGAACTTTAGGCTCCGGATGGACGCGATCGCGTCCATCTTCGTGAACTACCACGAGGAGCGCCGGGAGTTGGTCGAGAAGACCGAGGCCGCGGACCTCATCGAGCAGAACGTCGCCGAGCTCATGCAGCTCTGCTACCGCGGCGCGTCCGCCGGCGAGTTTGAAATTTGAATTTTCCCGCCCCGCGCCTCGCGCGGTCCCTCGCGCTCGCCCCGCCGGGCGCGGCCCACCATCGCTTCCGCGCGCGCGAGCGAGCCCTGCCATCCCCGGCGCGCAGGCATGCTCGACTCGACCGCGGACGTGCTCGCGGCGGCCGTGCTCCGCGACCGCTCGGCGTCTCGACGATCCCGCGCGCGCGTGCCCCGGGGGCGGGGGCGGGGTCTGGCGCGCGCGCGCGCGCGAGCGACTGCACGGACACGTCCTTCGCCCCCGCAGGCACGGAGTGGAAGGACGACGCGTCCGCGGAGGACGAGGGCCGGTCGCGCAAGCACCTGTCGGCGCGCGGCGCCGCGACGCCCCCCGACGGCTTCGGGACCACGTCCATGGTCGAGGCGTCCCTCGCAGGTCGCGGCTCGCGCGGCGCGTCGCGTCCTTCCACTGGGGCAACCTGCTCGTCGCGCGGCGTCCGCGAACGCTTCCCCGGAACCGTCGACGCGCGCGCGCGCCCGACGCGTCGNGTCGCCGCCC